ATTTTTACATTTTGTAATTCACTCTCTCTTTTATATATATATATTTGACAGGATTCGAACCTGCATCCTATACGTAGCCCAGAGGTAAGGCACGTCAGCGTAAATGACGGTTCCGTATAGGATGCAGGTTCGAATCCTGTCAAAGAACGAATATTTTCTATGAAAATTTCTCGGACATTCAGGCCGGTAAATGTTATTTAATACTGTTTATCATAAACAGAGCATTTGCTTAAATACTTGTATCTATAAATAACAACGTTAAACATAAAAAATGTCTTTAATAAATAAATTGTCGGACCTTGTACATTTCTTAATATATGACGTCATTTGTTTACATTTGATACGCCAGAGCAGTTATGAATGTACGAGATTCATGGAAGATTGAAGTTTATAAGCAGTAAATTCGACCTTGTCTACCGAAAAGGTTCTTTGTAGCCCAGAGGTAAGGCACGTCAGCGTAAATGACGGTTCCGTATAGGATGCAGGTTCAAATCCTGTCAAAGAACGAATATTTTCTATGAAAATATATATATATGTGTGTGTGTGTGTGTGTGTGTGTGTGTGTGTGTGTGTGTGTGTGTGTAAGTGTTCCAATAACTTGGACCGATTTTAATATGAATTATGTTTAAGTGTCTTTTCTTTTTCTTTCAGATTTGGCGGATACTTGGGTGATATTATTTTTCACACATAATTGGCATGGCTTAAATGACAATCCAATAGAGTAATAAATAAATTTTCACCAATAACACTGATTTATTTACTGTTGACTTTGATCCATCTTAATAAAACACCTTTTATATATTTTAACATATAATAAACCTAGTCCAATGAAGTCCTAAGGGACAAAATGCATCACACAAAAACTTTTTACACTTTGATATTATTATTGTTACACACACACACACACACACATATATATATATATATATATATATATATATATATATATACCCAAGGATGCCCATCTACTGGGGCAGCTAGCTAATCTGTGTTGCAGATGCCTGCTCAGGCACATTTGTGTTTATTCAGCACCCACATGCTGACTTACAGTTTCTGGGAGAGAGTACATTATCAACAGTCTGAACAAGGCCAGCACACTCAAGCCCTTGGTCATGATGACTTGTGACTTTGTGCTAGCACAACCACGGACAGCTCTCCAAGGGTTCTGTCTACCCAATTTCATTCTCGTCTTGAGTCAAACCGTGGTATGTTTTTCAGGCACTTTCCAACACACTAGGATCACTTCCTCAGGACAGATAACATCAAGAATTCACCTTCCTGACAAATCGACCCTGGTGAGATACGAAACCGGGTTTCATGGTCAGAAAGCAAATGTTCTAACTACTCAGCCATGCGGCCATACACACACACACTAAATGTTAGGAATTTAAACACATTACTAGACTGGCAGCTAGGTCTCATTATTTTACAGCTGAAATTGCTAGATGTAACCATATGTTCTATGCTAACAGTTTCTTGTCTTGAACTTCTCACTTGCTCTTTTGTAGCATCTTGCTTCCCAGCCAACTTTAATCTTTCAAAATTTATATATATATATATATATATATATATATATATATATATATATATATATATATATTCAGTTAAAAATAAAATCATCCTTGATAATGGCTAAAAGTAGTCGGACATACAAAACATTCAGACAATTTCTACATAATTCATGTCAAGAGAAGAAAACTATGAGAACAAGAAAAACTAAATAAAAAACTTAGCCACAATACTTTGTTAGTTATTTTAAATGAAATGTGTGTGCATATATAAAAATATGAAAAACTAGAAAGGTGTTTTGTGATGTGTTTCATCCATTATGATTTCATTAGACTATATATATATATATATATATATATATATATATATATATATATATATATATACATACATACATACACACTGTCATCTATGATTAAATAAGTCAATGTTTTAACACACACACACACACACACACACACATATATATATATATACACACAAACACATACACACTGATATTTATATACAAATTTCAGCTTATCTGCTTTTATTAGAATTATTTACAGTAATTATTTCGTGCTGTGTGATTTTATTATGCAACTGAAGATTTGTTCATTGTATTGTAAATAAATACCAATGTGTATAATTACTGGCATTTCTTTTTTAATTTCTTTTTTAATATATTACCATAGGTCATAAGAAAGATTCACTTTAAAAGAGAAACAAGATATCAAGTTATTGAGTGATGAGGATTGCCAAAAAATTGATCAAAGAACAATCAAAAAAGAAAATTGAAAATATTGGCAAGATAACAAAAAATTAAAAAGGGAAGTCACAAAAAGATATTAAAAAAAAAGGTAATAAGCAAAAATAGAAAGAGGAGTACAATTTCTCACCAAATTTATTTAACCCGTACATTGAAATGGTTCTTAGAGGACCAGCAGACTGAACAGGATACGTTATTGGCAGACATAACCTTAACAATATATGCCAAACAAATGACACTATGCTGACCGCAGATTCAGAAAGAAAATACCAATTAATTGACAAGATAGTCAGGGAGAGCAAGAAGAAAAACTGACTATTAACTGTAAGTAGATTCATCAAAAGATACATTACAAGTTACATATTGAGTGAGAGGATCAAGCAGGTGTGGAATTTTAACTATCAGCGTAGAAGAAAGAAAGAATACAAAGGTACATGCTTCTCACAAACTGAGTAAAAATCAAGGGATAGGAAAACTTCAACATCTGTCTATATTTCTGAAATGAGGTAGAGTAACTATTTACACGATTTACATTGTTCAGACATTTTATCCACAAGATCATGTGTCCACAACCAAAAAAGGCCCAGTGGATAAAAGAATTGGTTGAAGTAATTCAGTGACTTGACCTAAAGAGTTGTGTGTTCAATACCTGGCCACAGCAGAGGTGAACAAAATCTTGGTGATTTGAGTTACTAAAGAGAATTAACTGAAACCGAGATATAACAATCTACCCCATGGACTAAATAAAGGGTTTGGTTTGAAATTTCAAAGTATATCTCGTCAAGAAGGCAGGAGCGTACATCGACCAAAATCTTGTGAATATGAGGACAATAGTCTGAACAATGTAAATAGCATAAATAGGAAAACTTCTTTAGAAAAAAGATAAGAATGATGAACTGCTGTGTAATATCTAATCTTTTATATAGAAGTGAATGTTAGACAGTTATCTAACAGCTGATAAAGAAATGCTAAGCAAAAGAGAAGTGGTAGAACAGAGGGATGCTGAGAATGTTATGGACAGAACATGTGAGAAATGAGTATGCTTTAAGGAATTACAAAGAAATACATGCAGTCAGAAAGTGAGAACTAATACTTTGTCATATTGGAAAAGGCAAAGAAACAAAAGGAAACGTCAATAACCTACTTAATGTGCCTGAATAAATGGCTGGCAGAATAAGGACCACAGGGGTAAAAAGGAATGGTACAAACAAGAATTACTAAGAGTAAGAAGAGACAGGAAGTTGTAGAGAGCTATGATCATGTACGTCCTGAAAAGGACATGACATATTTTATATATATATAATTTTTATTATAAGAGATATATCAAAAACATGTTGAAATCGCTACACAATAGCTTTCATGTTTTGGCACTTTGTGCCTCTTCAGACTATGGTTATTTTTTATTATTATTATTTATATATTGCTCTACTTTGCATTGACCATTTTTCTTTTAAAAGTAAATGCGATGAACAGTGGGATTTTACTCCATCTGGATATATATATATATATATATATATATATATATATATATAGTTAGTTTATTTTTGTTGTCAATTTACAAAAACAAAGAAAATGCACAAATTCTCTTTCATATGTTTAGGTTTTATTACAATTCTAATCATCACTTTTTAAAAAAATAAAAATAGCTAAGGAGTGAATGTATTTAAAATAATACTGGTGTCAGTGGAAAAAAATGTCCATTTCACACTCATTTCTTTTGTGGACACAAAGGACCAAGTTTACCAATATTTCTTTGGCCTAAATCTTTTGGATTTATTTTTAAATAAAGACGTACTGTGTATAATATAACAACAACTCTAAGTAGAAGCTTTTGAATCTTTATTTGACTAATTCAGCTTTAACACTGAAAATGTTTATTTCATTACAGTGAATGATTATAAGCAAAAGGGGATGTGCTTCTTTTATTATCACGCTTTGTTTGCATAATAAAATCTAGCACTTCCAAAACAATATTTTTAATAAGAACAATTATAAACTAATGCTAACAATACATATAAATATATCCTGAAAATTTTGTCAGCATCAATTGGCTAATACCAATTCATTGTGAAAACATTATTTGCAGAATAAACTCTGATATAGTGTACATTGGATGGAGATAAATATGAAGAACTCTAAGTCTATTTAATTTCTTTATCATGTTAATTAATAATAATTAAAAAAATATCAAAGATAACAAAATGGCTACCAAAAAAAGTTTGGTATTGTGTAGGTAAAAAAATAATGAATCTAATCTTAAAAAAAAAAAAAAAAAAAAGACGAGATGGTAGTTTTGTAGCAGTGATGACAAAAAGGTGTCAATAGCCCAATGTTGGTCCTCTATACCAGCAAATTGTAAATGATTTGGAAAAAAATATTAATTAAATCATTTTGATGCTTTAATTAAGGAATTCATAATCATGCTTGAAAATAAATGCTAGGTTAATGATGCTTGCTAACAAATTAATTGATAAGAAAGAATATGAAAGCCATCAGGGCAATAGCAAATCTTGTAAAAAAAAATACAAAGCCCGAGGCCTTACGTATCTTAATATAGAGCTAGGGTGAGAAAAAACTGTCTTGTGTCAAACTAAATTCAGTTTATTAGTGCCTTGCTGTAATACTGTGGTTTGCATACTAGTGACAAATACTGAAGTAATTTCAATCCTCACACGGTACCTGATACTTGTGGCTTTTTGTTAGACTAATTGAAGCTTAGAAACCTACTGAATGAGGGCTTCACCTTGGTGAAGTGGTTCACAAGCCAGTTTCATAGACTGAAAATTGGTGAACGAAGGAAGGAAAAATAAATGAGGAAAGCATGAAGAGAAAATGAATGGAGAATGAAAAAATACAAATGGAAAGGGAACAAATGGATAGGGAATGAGGGAAAAAAAGTAGATGGGGAATGAAGGAAGAGAAAATGGATGGGGAATGAAGGAAGAGAAAATGGATGGGGAATGAAGGAAGAGAAAATGGATGGGGAATGAAGGAAGAGAAAATGGATGAGGAATGAAGGAAGTAAAAAAAAAAAAATGGACGGGGAATGAAGTAAAAAAAAATGGATGGGGAATAAAGGAAGAGAAAATGAATGGGGAATGAAGGAAGAGAAAATGGATGGGGAATGAAGGAAGAGAAAATGGATGAGGAATGAAGGAAGTAAAAAAAATGGACGGGGAATGAAGTAAAAAAATGGATGGGGAATAAAGGAAGAGAAAATGGATGGGGAATGAAGGAAGAGAAAATGGATGAGGAATGAAGGAAGTAAAAAAAATGGATGGGGAATGAAGGAAGAAAAATGGATGGGAAATGAAGGAAGAAAAATGGATGGGGAATGAAGGAAGAGAAAATGGATGGGGAATGAAGGAAGAGAAAATGGATGGGGAATGAAGGAAGTAAAAAAATGGACGGGAATGAAGTAAAAAAAAAATGGATGGGGAATAAAGGAAGAAAAATGGATGGGGAATGAAGGAAGAGAAAATGGATGGGGAATGAAGGAAGAAAATGGATGGGGAATGAAGGAAGAGAAAATGGATGGGGAATGAAGGAAGTAAAAAAAATGGACGGGGAATGAAGTAAAAAAAATGGATGGGGAATGAAGGAAGAGGAAATGGATGGGGAATGAAGGAAGAGGAAATGGATGGGGAATGAAGGAAGTAAAAAAAATGGACGGGGAATGAAGTAAAAAAATGGATGGGGAATAAAGGAAGAGAAAATGGATGGGGAATGAAGGAAGAGAAAATGGATGGGGAATGAAGGAAGAGAAAATGGATGGGGAATGAAGGAAGTAAAAAAAATGGACGGGGAATGAAAAAAAAAATGGATGGGGAATAAAGGAAGAAAAATGGATGGGGAATGAAGGAAGAGAAAATGGATGGGGAATGAAGGAAGAGAAAATGGATGGGGAATGAAGGAAGAGAAAATGGATGAGGAATGAAGGAAGTAAAAAAAATGGACGAGGAATGAAGTAAAAAAATGGATGGGGAATAAAGGAAGAGAAAATGAATGGGGAATGAAGGAAGAGAAAATGGATGGGGAATGAAGGAAGAGAAAATGGATGAGGAATGAAGGAAGTAAAAAAAATGGACGGGGAATGAAGTAAAAAAATGGATGGGGAATGAAGGAAGAAAAATGGATGGGGAATGAAGGAAGAGAAAATGGATGGGGAATGAAGGAAGTAAAAAAAATGGATGGGGAATGAAGGAAGAAAAATGGATGGGGAATGAAGGAAGAGAAAATGGATGGGGAATGAAGGAAGTAAAAAAAATGGACGGGGAATGAAGGAAGTAAAAAAAATGGACAGGGAATGAAGTAAAAAAATGGATGGGGAATAAAGGAAGAAAAATGGATGGGGAATGAAGGAAGAAAAATGGATGGGGAATGAAGGAAGAGAAAATGGATGGGGAACAAAGGAAGAAAAATGGATGGGGAATGAAGGAAGAGAAAATGGATGGGGAATAAAGGAAGAAAAATGGATGGGGAATGAAGGAAGAGAAAATGGATGGGGAATGAAGGAAGAGAAAATGGATGGGGAATGAAGGAAGTAAAAAAAATGGACGGGGAATAAAGGAAGAAAAATGGATGGGGAATGAAGGAAGAGAAAATGGATGAGGAATGAAGGAAGATAAAATTGATGGAGAATGAAGGAAGAGAAAATGGATGAGGAATGAAGGAAGAGAAAATGGATGAGGAATGAAGGAAGAAAAATGGATGGGAAATGAAGGAAGAGAAAATGGATGGGGAATGAAGGAAGAGAAAATGGATGAGGAATGAAGGAAGAGAAAATGGATGAGGAATGAAGGAAGTAAAAAAAATGGACGGGGAATGAAGTAAAAAAATGGATGGGGAATAAAGGAAGAGAAAATGGATGGGGAATGAAGGAAGAGAAAATGGATGAGGAATGAAGGAAGTAAAAAAAATGGACGGGGAATGAAGTAAAAAAATGGATGGGGAATAAAGGAAGAAAAATGGATGGGAAATGAAGGAAGAGAAAATGGATGGGGAATAAAGGAAGAAAAATGGATGGGGAATGAAGGAAGAGAAAATGGATGTGGAATGAAGGAAGAGAAAATGGATGGGGAATGAAGGAAGTAAAAAAAATGGACGGGGAATGAAGTAAAAAAATGGATGGGGAATAAAGGAAGAAAAATGGATGGGGAATGAAGGAAGAGAAAATGGATGAGGAATGAAGGAAGATAAAATTGATGGAGAATGAAGGAAGAGAAAATGGATGAGGAATGAAGGAAGAGAAAATGGATGAGGAATGAAGGAAGAAAAATGGATGGGAAATGAAGGAAGAGAAAATGGATGGGGAATGAAGGAAGAGAAAATGGATGAGGAATGAAGGAAGAGAAAATGGATGAGGAATGAAGGAAGTAAAAAAAAAAAAATGGACGGGGAATGAAGTAAAAAAATGGATGGGGAATAAAGGAAGAGAAAATGGATGGGGAATGAAGGAAGAAAATGGATGAGGAATGAAGGAAGTAAAAAAATGGACGGGGAATGAAGTAAAAAAAAAATGGATGGGGAATAAAGGAAAAAAAATGGATGGGGAATGAAGGAAGAGAAAATGGATGGGGAATGAAGGAAGAGAAAATGGATGGGGAATGAAGGAAGAGAAAATGGATGAGGAATGAAGGAAGAGAAAATGGATGAGGAATGAAGAAAGTAAAAAAATGGATGGGGAATGAAGTAAAAAAATGGATGGGGAATAAAGGAAGAGAAAATGGATGGGGAATGAAGGAAGAGAAAATGGATGAGGAATGAAGGAAGTAAAAAAAAAAAATGGATGGGGAATGAAGGAAAAAAAATGGATGGGGAATAAAGGAAAGAAAAATGGATGGGGAATGAAGGAAGAGAAAATGGATGGGGAATGAATGAAGGAAGAAAAATGGATGGGGAATGAAGGAAGAGAAAATGGATGAGGAATGAAGGAAGAGAAAATGGATAAGGAATGAAGGAAGTAAAAAAAATGGACGGGGAATGAAGTAAAAAAAATGGATGGGGAATAAAGGAAGAGAAAATGGATGGGGAATGAAGGAAGAGAAAATGGATGAGGAATGAAGGAAGTGGGAAAAAAAAAAATGGACAGGGAATGAAGTAAAAAAAAAATGGATGGGGAATAAAGGAAGAAAAATGGATGGGAAATGAAGGAAGAGAAAATGGATGGGGAATGAAGGAAGAGAAAATGGATGAGGAATGAAGGAAGAGAAAATGGATGAGGAATGAAGGAAGTAAAAAAAATGGACGGGGAATGAAGTAAAAAAATGGATGGGGAATAAAGGAAGAGAAAATGGATGGGGAATGAAGGAAGAGAAAATGGATGGGGAATGAAGGAAGAGAAAATGGATGAGGAATGAAGGAAGTAAAAAAATGGACAGGGAATGAAGTAAAAAAATGGATGGGGAATAAAGGAAGAAAAATGGATGGGGAATGAAGGAAGAGAAAATGGATGGGGAATGAAGGAAGAGAAAATGGATGGGGAATGAAGGAAGAGAAAATGGATGAGGAATGAAGGAAGAAAAATGGATGGGAAATGAAGGAAGAGAAAATGGACGGGGAATGAAGTAAAAAAATGGATGGGGTATAAAGGAAGAAAAATGGATGGGGAATGAAGGAAGAGAAAATGGATGGGGAATGAAGGAAGAGAAATAGATGGGTAATAAATGAGAAAAAAAATGGATGGGAGAATGAAGGAGGAAAAATGGATGAAGAAGGAAGGTAGAAAAACTGGTTTGTATATGAAAAAATATGGACAGGCTTAAAACTGGAGTAGGCATGAAAGAAGATAAAATGGATGGGAAAGGGATGAAGAAATAATTGATTGTGAACGAAGGAAGAAAACCTGGATGGGGAATGAAGGAAAAAAGCTGGTTGAGAAATGAAAGAAAAAAAAGCCTAATGTGGAATGAAGGAGAAAACAATAGATGAGCAAATAAAGGAGATAGCAATGGATGGGAAATGAAAGAGAAAAACTGGTTTGGAAATGAAGGAAGCAAAAACTGGTTTGGAAATGAAGGAAGCAAAAACTGGTTTGGGAATGAAGGAAGCAAAAATTGGTTTGGGAATGAAGGAATCAAAAACTGGTTTGGGAATGAAGGAAGAAAAAATGGTTTGGGAATAAAGGAAGAAAAACTGGATGGGAAATGAAGGAAAAAATGGATGCTGAATGAAGGAAGATAAAATGGATGGGGGGAGGAATGAAGAAAAAATTGATGGGGAATGAAGGAGGAAAAATTGAATGGGTAAAAGGAGGAAAAACTGAAGAAATGAAGGAAGTAAAAAACAAATGAATTAAAAATGGATAGAAAAAAGTAAAAGGAAATGAATGAAGATTATAGATGATGAAAATAGATGAAGAGGGGTGAGAAAAGAAAGAATTTGAAGGAAGTGAGAAAAAAAATGATATAAGGTAGAAAAAAAATTGACAAAATTTGAGAAAAAATGAAACCAGGTATAATAAAGTGAAAAAACATGAGAATGAAAAATAAAATAATATAAAAAAATGTTTAAAAAATGCATAAACAAAATAATACAAAAATACACACAAGTAAAAAAGAAAATGGAAGAAAGAGAAAAACAAAAAAGAAACATAATGGTTTACAAAGATTAAAAAAATCTTGTCCTCTTATTCTATCTGCTACTCAAGTCGTCTGTAGCGACTTTAGAGTTCAACCCCCCCCAACCACTCACCTGCTAATGTACTCACACCAGAGTAATACAGAAAAAGAGACACACATATGA